TATAAAGGGCTCGGGGACGCGGTGCTGCATCTTCTCGTCTCTCTGCACTAGGCAAGCGTTGCAGCTGTCGATACACACACGCGTTTAGGAGTCAGGACATGACGGAATATTCACTTAACAATCGGGCCAGCATTGCATCGTAACCTATGATCGTAACTAACGTTTATCATTTTCACGTCTTTTTGAGTTTTACAAGCAATGTTAAACCATCCCGTGCTCGCGCACTCTCAGAGATGTCTTTCACTGCGTGCACAGCCTAAATCCGCCTCACAAACAGCTCGCCAGAAACAAAAGTTTTATCCCTGGATTATATCACTTTAACAGTTAAAACACGTGACATTATGTCAAAACTCTGGTCTTGGTGAGTAACCTCGTAAAGACAGTCGGTAATGTCTTAAATTAGCATTAAACGTGTGTGACAGAAAGTTAATGAAACAGTAATGGATTCGCGCACTAGTTCTTAAAGTGAACGCAGCCATTGGTGTCAGTCATTAATTCTGTTGTCATAACAACAGAATATAGTATTAATTGTAAGCAATCAGAATAATAGCCTTTGTATGGACTAAAAAGACTATCCAGTGTTATTTTACATTGGATTACTTTATTCAGTTTCTGTAGTATTTCTGACAAACCCAAAAAACTACCCTAAAATGTCTCTTAATTTGTGTCTTTATTCTATTGTATTTATTTGTGCTACTTTTTTCAATTTAATTCAAAGATTGAAATCAAGCTTCCATACATAAACTCTTAAAACAAAAATAAACAAAAAATTACATTACCATTTAGGTAAGATCAATGTAAAAAAAAGAGTCTAAATATTTATATATTTATTTATCTATATCTATCTTAAACATAAAATAACATGATACTGTTTGATCAAGCTGTGCGACTGTTCTGACTTTTTTTGCATATTGCATCAAAATCCTGTTTATTCTTTGTATGCATTTAGTGTAACTAAAATAAAAAGAGTTTTATATACAGGTTTATGGCTCTTAATTTCCTTGTATTAATTAACCACTAGTAAACTTATGTCCACTGTTCTTTTTTATAAATATAGGATTTGTATTACATCTTTATTATAGTCGAATCGAGAATCAAATCAGGAATCGAAATCGAAAATTGAATCGAGAATCGAAATCGAATCGAACTGAGAGCTTGTGAATCGAAATCGAATCGAAATTGAAATGTAAATCGATACCCAGCCCTACTGACTAACTGAAGAGATCCAGCCGGCTACTGTAACAGTTGCATAGTTAAACACACTGATGTTGATCAAAAATGAATCGATGATGAAAACGTCTTGTGTTTGGGGTTGCGCTGCCAGATTTACAGCAAAAGGTGTTGGGGTGTGGGTGGGTGAGGAGGTTATAGCGATCATTCGAGACTAACATTAGTAAACTTGTCTCTTTTGAAGATCAGACTCATTGCCAGTCACTGCCTGAAGTAAAAGAGGGCTGCCCACTCTCACGCATTGACCGTGAGACTCACGAAATTGTCACTTTTCACACGCTCTCACGCCACACGTCCATTTTCTCACGCAACTTACCGAAATGTATATTCCTCGTATATAATATCGACCAATCAGTGTTTTTCAACCGCGCAAACAGGTTAATATAACAGCTGGAGAACAATTGTCACATCACATTTGCCTCAGGAAAGCCATTTAATGACCATGATAGGCTATATAGCACGTTATTTTGCCAAGAAAAATTAGCTAGAGAGTATTTTACTAATTATGTGTAGGCCTACTATATTACATATTTAATATATTTTTTACCTATATCATTAAAAACAGTTGTTATTATGATAAAAAAAACCTAATATTTAATAAAAAAAATATTACATTTTTACATTTGACGGTGGGTCTCCCTTCCAAGCAATTTACCAACATTGCCACAGGAGCACTTCGGCTTTTGCCACACGGAAGAACGTCTATTACTGTTGTGACGTCATGGTGAATTGTCGTATATGTAATTAAATGATATTTTGATAGATACATACAATCGATAGTTAGTTGATGGATAGTTGATAGATACAATACTTAAATCTTCTTTGAAATATGCAACTGCCAAATGTACTGACAAACATTTGTGCTAAACTTAAATATACTCCGGGTCTGGTTAAAACAGGTGGACCCCAAATTTCAGGAGTTCCCAGCTGATGCTTTTCAGTTTGTTTGTGCAATATGCATCAGATGGTGAGATTCCCAGATTTCATCAATCAATCAGATGGCGCCAACTCCTGCGAGGACTAGAGCCCGACCGATAAATGATTTTGAAGGCCGGTACCGATACGAATATTTTTTTTGTTTTAAAATCTGATATATCGGCCGATGTTTTTTTTTATTTATTTATTTATTTTTTCAGAAACGCACAACAAAACATTAACAGATTTCTCTAACATTAGTTATTTGTAGTTATTTATGAGTTTTAACTAAAATAATATGATAATACATTTTAAAAAGAAACTTGTTTCTTTTATTGTCACAACAGAACAGACTGATGATAGTGGCATTAGCTAGCTTTGTGGTTAGCTATTCTATGATGAGCCATAATTTAGCAATGGATAACGTCATACTGCAAATTGTAAAATATACATTTTCAATATAACAGGCCAAGGAGAGATGGTACGTCTCATTGCTATGACTGTCACACGCTATTAAAGAAATACTTCAGTCACATTGTCAAAAGTTAAAAGGACACTTACAAAACAACGTTACGTAACTATTACTAGCTAATTCCGCTTCACTCTCGGCTTATTTAACAGCAGCAAAACTGGACATGATAGTCACAAATTTTGTCATGCTTATTTGAGTTAAGAGAACTGATGGGGATGTTCTTTTAATTGTTATTCAAGCAATGTATATCTCGTGACCAACTCAACGAGTGTTGCCAACAGGGACGGTGTAGAGTGCCCTCTGGTGGACAAACTATACAACTCAACACTCATGACATGGTTGAAGCGTATTTTGTCCATTTTTATTTTATTTTTGAAATATTCATTTATCGGCCATTATAACTGCCGATACCGATAGTTTGGAAAAATCCTAATATCGGCCGATAATATCGGCCTGCCGATATATCGGTCTTGCTCTAGCGAGGACTTCAACATTTCACACTCTGAATCAACATGCACCAATGCTACAATTTTCTATATCATAATAATTTTTGTTAACAAACAAGTATTCATTACGCTACTTCTCCCTTAAATTAGTACATTGTTTAAATTAGTAAAGAGTGAACTGTGATTTGTAAATGTACATTTCTGAAATAAATAACTTAGACAGGTACTTCTGAATACAGATCACTCTTGATTGTAATGTGGGACTCATGCATTTTCTGTAAAGCTACTTTGAAATGATGTGTGTATTGTGAAAAGCGCTATACACATAAATGTGAATTGAATTGAATACAAGGAAGAAACCAGGCTGCTATAATTAGCATGTCTGAGGAAGAACTATTTCATGCGATTGCCATGAGTTTTCATCAAGTACTGAGATATTTCCTCATTCGGACTACAAATGCACATTTCCCAATCATTTCTTTGCTGTTGACTGTGTAATCCTTCCCATAAACTGCTGCACTATTATAATCACGTATGTGTGAGATAGGTTGTTTTTTGAATGCGTTGGTCCAGTAGCGTTTTCCTGCCTGGGTGGTCTGTTAATATGACACTTCAAACCTGTAAAGTTTTGCTTTTTCAGAAACAAATCCTCCCATGCTGCGTCTTTTACAATCTTCAGTCAGTTGCATCAGTGACCACATCCTTCCAGTCTGTGTCCTCTATCTTAGTTCTCTGTGTTGTAAAGCCTTTGAGTGCAGATGTAGGCTTAGCCATGGCACATGTAAAACATTAAATGTACAGTCACTATGTAGTTTCACAGTTTTAGTTTTTAATTTGCTTTCATTTAAAACGCCTCAAACATATATTTTAGTCTGAGACCCAAGCCTTGTCTGTGAAACCGGGGTATGGGGGTTAACCTAATAGACTGTAGCCGTTTGATGTGAGGATTGATCATGTCTGGAGCACAAACGCTGCAGGATGACGCACACACTGAACTTTAAAACTTTCTATTTGAGCTTTTTAACCCTTAATATGACTAATAGTTAGCATTGTGTTTATTCAGAAGCACAGATGGATTTTAAATGTAACTTGCTGCATGCTTATTGTAAAAAAAACGTGAATTTAGTCAGCACAATTGATTGGAAAAAAAACAGTGTGAGTGATAAATAGTTTCCCCCCTTTGGTTTATGTATTTGGCAAGCGATAGTAATAATTAGGCCACCAGTCACCACCACATCACACAAACCTCGGGTGTATCTGGGCGGATCACACAAATCACATCATATCTGCCTCAGTTTGATTTCAAGACTCCTGCCCTGTAATGTCATACAGCACACGTGCTCTTCCTATTTAAAATGACAAAAATAACCATTCAAACTCAATATTTAGGTTATCTAGATCAACTGTGGTCTGTTCTGAGGTTGTAACTTAACCAGTCACTCCACCCACTTGAGGCCTGCGATCTGTCATGATCTGTGTAAGTCGAGTGTAAATCCATCAGTATAGTAGTTGTCTAGGAGGCAAAAATATCTGTGAGCAGCTGAATGGTTAAAAGATGTTTTAAAACAGCTTTGTATGAATTTATGTCATATGTCACTGTTTAACATGTACCCGTATCAGATTTTATAACACAGTTGTGTTTGCTAAGGCGACACTGATATTTATCCTCATACTGAGGGTTAGAGGTTTAGAGCAAACAACGTTCAATGTGTCTGTCGTCCTGCAGTGTTTCTGCTCCAGACACAAATGCTCTATTTTGGAAAAAAATAGGTGAACAAGGTCCCACAGAGAGCTGAGCCATAGCTAGGGCAGGGGTTATCAACCCTTTTGACACTAAGGCCCCACTTTTTCCGAGACTGTTTTGAATGGATAATTGGATGGATGGACAGACAGACGTATAGATAGACTCATCATCATATTTGTGTCTTTCTTTACAGCAGTATGTTGCAGTGGATGAGTGAAATGTTCTGGCAGGAGCGTCTGTGGTTCCCAGAGGGTTTGGGATGGGCTGACCTGGAGGACCGGGATGGGCGGGTCTATGCGAAGGCACGGGATTTGTGGGTGGCATTGCCAATCGCCGCCCTGTTTATGGCTATTCGACCGGTCTATGAGAGGTGGGTCCAAAGCTACATCACTACACTCATCTTTCCTTTCATTTCTGTTAAATGGCCCTTTTCCACTGCTGGTCCGGCTCAGTACGATTCAGCTTGACACGGCACGACTCGGTTTGCTTTAGCTCGGTTGCTTTTCCGCTGCAGTTAGTACCGCTTTAAAGTGCGTGGGATTATAGACTGATCGATAACAGCGTTGGATGTTACTGGCTATTTAAATCTAGCGGGTTTGGTTTCTCTTGTTGATGTCTATTGGTCGCAAATACAATGACGCTGGTAGTGACGATTCTGTCTGACCAATCAGTGATCTGCAGTGTTTCACGTAACACACGCTTTGAACCTCAACAGACCAGGTACCATTTAAAGCGAGCCGTACCGTACCATGCAGTGGAAAAGCGCCAAAATTGTATACCCTCCACGTCTGAGACTTTTTCCGTTTTTCCTCTTTGTCTGATATTTGATAAGCTTCGTCTCTTTCTCTCTCTCGGCCTCTGTCTGGCATGCTTATAAATAGGTTTCAAGTTCTATTTCTGTCGACATGCTTTTTCTTTTATGTCTTCTCTCCCTGAGTCACTCCCTTCGTTTTACTCTCCCACCCCTCGTTCTCTCTCTCTCTCTCTCTCTCTCTCTCTCTCTTATCAAGCTGTCTTTGCTGTCATCTTGTTTTCTTTCTCTTTTTTTACTGTGAGTATCAAAGATAAGGAATTAGAGGCTGAATTAGAATTAATGCACTAAAATTCACAGAAATATATCATCTGTGAAGCAGCTCTCTAAAATTCTAGCTAATAATCAAATAAGGGTTCATATTTATCAATTCATTTCAAAAGAGCAATGTCATTTCAAATACACAGTCCAAAAAACATGACAGTAAATATGGATAGTAAAATGATCTATACGCAGATACTACTCTACCATTTAAAGTTTTAGAGTGGGTACGATTTTTTATTTTGTTTTGAAAGATGCTCACCATGGCTGCTTTTATTTGAAGAAAATACAGCAAAAAAAGGAATATTGTAAAAAATTATTACAATTTAAATGTTCAAAATAGTTGTGGAGGAAGTTTTGGAGGAGACACACACTCAAAGTATGTTTTAGGGCTGGATAACCATCTGTATGTCTTTCTATTGCCGGGAAATGATAGCACATCAGTAGCCCAGTACATCAATTATGTTCTCTGGCGGGATGGTTCGGATTTTGTTGTGGAGGAAATGGACGAGGAACGTGCTTAAGCCTTTCCAGCCCCTTTCCCGATTGCATTTGTCTATTCCAGACCTCCCCTGGCCATAACCCAAACCCTCCACGGACCTAGAGCCCACTAAGGACCCCGCCACTTTTCACCGCCACAAAACATATTCCTTTTTCTTTTCCACTTCTATGTAATGAAAGTTTTTCAAAATTGTCGTTTCTTCTTTTTCTCCCAAAGACGAACCCTGGCTGGCTGCCCTTCGGCCCCTTTCTCTGTGTCAGACTTTGTTTGTTGTCGTTTATGCTAACTCACCGCAGCTGCATCTTCTAAATAATGCTGTGAGCGGAGCTTGAGGAAGCGGTCTGCGCTGTGCGACTTGATGCCGCCCTTGAAGTGAGACACAGGAAACAAAGACTGCAAAATAATAATAATAGCACGACTAAAAACAACGTTATAAATAACCTAATAACTTTATAACATTTCGTCTCGTCTCGTTTTGGTCAACAAAAATAAAGAGACATTTTAGCATAGTTTTTATTTTGTAAACCAAATTTAGTCTCATTTTTATTACTCAACAATATTGCATTATACATTTAATTATAGTCATCGTCACATGACAAGCATTTACTTTGCGTCTTTCGTCTCGTCTCGTTTTTCGTCACTTGATAAAGGTTCGTTGACGACGATATTTAGTCATAATAGCTTTAGTCATAGTCATAGTCAGCAGCCATTTCACCCTGTAGCCCAAGACTGGTTGCCCACTGAAGCTAAGCAGGGCTGAGCCTGGTCAGTACCTGGATGGGAGACCTACTAGGAAACCAGGTTGCTGCTGAAGAGGTGTTAGTGAGGCTCACCCTGTAGTCTGTGTGGGTCCTAATGCCACAGTATAGTGATGGAGACACTATACTGTCAAAGAGCACCGTCCTTCGGATGAGATGTTAAACCGAGGTCCTGATTCTCTGTGGTCACAAAAAATCCCAGGATGTCTTTCAAAAGAGTAGGGGTGTAACCCTGGCCAAATTTGCCCAGTGGCCTCTGTCCATCCATCATGGCCTCCTAATCATCCCCATATATATTTATATATATATATGAAGAGTTCAGATGCAAAAGCCTCTAAATGCTATTTGAAATTTTCTTCTTTAATGATGATTTTTATCAAACTTGTATATTTAAGTTCAGTAATTTCACTTAAATGACAAGTGAAATTACTGAACTTAAATATACAAGCTTGATAAAAATGATCATTCTAGAAGAAAATTTCAAATGGCACTTAGAGGCTTTTGCATCTGAACTCTTCATATATATATATATATATATATATCAATTGGATTCATCACTCTGTAAGCTGGTGTGTGGTGGGCGTCCTGGCGCACTATGCCTGCCGTCACCTCATCCAGGTGATGCTGCACATTGGTGGTGGTTGAGGAGATTCGGGAAAAAAAGAGGGTACAAAATTAAATATTGAGAAAGTAAACATCGAACATCGCCGTCACCTCATCCAGGTGATGCTGCACATTGGTGGTGGTTGAGGAAATACGGGAAAAAAAGAAGGTACAAAATTAAATATTGAGAAAGTAAACATCGAATGTGTTTCAGAAATAAAATTTTTGGGGGTTGTCCTAGACAGTAAACTTAGCTGGAAGCCTCATATAGAATATATCAAAGGTAAAATTAGTAAGAATATTGGTATTCTATATAATGTTAAACATATATTAGATGAAGCTTCATTACAGCTTCTATATTTAACCTTAGTTGTTCCATATTTAACATATTGTACTGAAGTGTGGGGTAATGCATGCAACAGTTATACAGACAAGTTGTTTGTACTCCAGAAGAAAGCCATAAGAATTGTGGCTAACCAAGGTGCACGAGACCACACAAATAAAGTGTTTATAAAACTGCAGACTTTGAAATTTAAAGAGTTGGTCAGTTTCAAAATACTAAAAATTATGTGGAGAGTGAAAAATAATTTAGTACCAACACATATTAAAAATAAATTCATGTTAATCACAGACAATAACAACAGAAGAAAAGGCAATTTTAGTGTGCCATATTCACGTACCTCAAAAAAACAAAAGGGGTTCCTTGTAACTGGGATTAGTTTATGGAACTCTTTGGATAGAGGTCAAAAATCATGTAACTCGATTGTTCAATTCAATAAAATGTACAAAAAATATGTACTTGAAAAATACAAAGGAAATGAAGCATAAGAAATAAGGTTTTATTTTTTTGTGTGTTTTTTTTTTTTTTTTTTTTGTTTTTTGTTTTTTTTTTCTAAATTGGTAATTGTTAATTGCTGGGATGTGAAATAATACTGAAGAAATATGTATGTGTATGTATGTGTATGTATATATGTATGTGTGTAAGTATATATATGTATATATGTGTATGTATGTATATGTGTATGTATATATATGTATATATGTATATGTGTATATGTATATATATATATAGAAAGGAAGGGGAATGGAAGAAAAAAAAATGGCGATCCATCTGTTTTGTATAAGCTTAGATAATTGAAAAAAGGGGCATTAATTTATAAGACTATGTCTTCTTTATGCTCCTATTCAGTAATGAATGTTATTATTTTGTTGTAGTGGAGATTATTGTTGTGTCTATAATAACATCATGACTGAATAAAGAAATTTGAATTTGAATTTGAATTTGAATTTGAGATTCCCCGCCCCCCTTCTATGTAAAGCACTTTGACTGCAGAGAAAAGCGCTATATAAATTTAATAAATTAATTATTATTATTATTATAATTTTCATTGACAAAAGTAACACTAGCTCCGCCTCCGCACACTTGAATCCAAAATTTTAGTATGCGTTTTTTCATATTCGTCATTCGGTGGCTCTGAATTGTCAAAAAACCTCTCTTTGACGGATATGAAAAAGGCAGAAAATCAAACTCGATCCGAATTTTTTTATGACCGACTAAAGTTTCCAAGGTAGTGTGTAAACGTGATTGACACAACGTGAGGTTGTATTTATTATATGCCAATATTACATATGAGAATTTCAGACTTTTAGTCCGCAAGGACCTTTAGTCCCCCAGCAACATGGCTTTGCCTCGGCCTCTTGGACCTATAGTGTCGCCCGGTCTCTGTGACCCCGTTTACACCTGGTATTAAAATGCGATCTGTATCCAGATAAGTTATCCGGATAATAAAAAACGCATGTTAATGCAAGGTGTAAACGCGTTGTGATCGGATCGTGATCGGATCTGCCTGACCACATCTGGAGGTAGTCTGGCTCGCATTGTGTCCGGATCTTTACTAGGTGTAAACGCAATCTGGTTGTTGAAACCACATATGTATATTTTACTCCTCCCAAAAATGCTAAAAAATAAACGAGTGAGAGCGTGTTATATAGGCTATATGTCATGTTATAGCCTAGTCAGATGCGACACGCATCACCGCAGATGAGCAGCTGAGCGTCTATTCAACGTGCAAACATCGCAAATAAAAGTGGAAGTAAGTCACAGACGCAGTTAACACATCTTCAAGTAAAGAAACGAAATTATCTTACCAGGCCTGTTGCCACTCTCTCTTATTGATGTCTCTGATTTGGAAATTAGCTGATGATCAATAAAATGCCGCTCAGATCTGTTGCTTTTGGTGGCGTGGTGCAATCCAATAAATCTGCATATAACGCAGGAGGTGAAGATCGGATTTATATCCGTTTTGCAAAAACACATTTATGTGGCCAGGTGTAAATGGAATCAGTACTTATTATCCGGATAACTTATCTGGATACAGATCGCATTTTAATACCAGGTGTAAACGGGGTCTGTGTCTCCTCGGCTCCGCCCAGGTTTACAACTCTTGTGGCTCCACCGCTGGCGGTCGGATTTCTGACTCCAGCTTGGCTCCTCACACCATCAGCTCTGCCGTGGGCCTTCATCTGGGCTATGCTAAATGTTTCCTCCTGCCTTCGTCTCCTTCCTGGCTCCTCCCTCCATAGATATGTATAGAAAGGCTAGATGTGTTACGGCGGAGTTTCTATCGTCATCACCGGCGGCCATCTTGTCACAGACAAGCTGATGTAAGATGAGTGGTCAGCACGAACACAAATACTCTTATCTCGTTGAAATCTTGACGGATTTACAAACGGTTTGGTTTCTTACAAACGTTATTAACTTGGCTATAATTATCTGGATGATTATTTATTTATACACTTTTTATTCATAAGTATGCAGTGTCATAACTACATCTCTGACGTTTATAGCAAACCAAACCGTTTGAAAATCGGTAGAAAATTGAGCAAGTTATGGTCATTTAAATAGTACATGTACCGTTAACACAATGTTACGAGTGAGCGAGCTGCCTGTGACAAGATGGCCGCCAGGTGCAGACGTCGACCTCCATTGGCCAGCAGCGTGGACGATATATCTAGCCTTTATATAGATATCTATGCCTCCCTCCATGTCCCCTCCTCCCCCCGTCACGCTTCTCTCCAGCTCCATGTCCCCCACCAGAGCCCATACTATCCCTTCTTTGCTGAACTGTTATTTTTAATGAATAAAACATATTTTTTTAAAAATGTTTTTATCAATTTAATTCATCCTTCCAGAATAAAAGTATTAATTTATTTATAAAAAAATGTCCCTGTATGTTCAGATATGTTGCTACACCAGTAGCCTCTCTGCTGGGCATTAAGGAAACGGTCAGAAGGCGAGTTACACACAACCTAACACTGGAGACCTACTTTTGCAACACAACTAAAAACCCCCCACAGGTGCGTACACTTCTGCACTTATAAATGAATCACAAATTTCTCCACACTACCACAACGGCTATCATTTTGTTTTTACCATCCAGAGTTCAGTTGAGAAACTGTGCAAGCAGACGGGATGGACAGAGCGACAGGTCCAGCGTTGGTTCAGGCGGCGCAGGAATCAAGACAGACCCAACCTTCTCAAGAAGTTTTGTGAGGCCAGGTAAAAACACAGCAGCACCAGTTCTTCACATACACTTTCTATAGTCCTGTTACCATGGACCATTCACAATAAGATGAGCTTTAGCTGCCAATGTGTGAGATTAAAGGTCATTTCTGTTAGTGAATTGCCTGTGTATAAGCTTAAGTCAGTTCTGTATAAAAGGCACTTATTCAATGCTGTTTGGCACGTATTCAATTATTCATGTGTTTAGTAAAACTTTTAAAGGCTCTATCACGTGCAGTGGTTTTCAGTCCTGCTCCCAGAGGCCCAAAGCATTGCACTTTTTTTTTGACACACCCATCTCAGGTTTTAAAGCCTAATGCATTGAATTCTATGGCATTCAGGATGTGCGTAGTAACCAAAGAGTTTCTCTGTGCAGCATTTCCATTCCCATCTCAATAGTGCAGGATGAACCTGAATAATGTCACTGATCAAATAGTGGTGGAAAAATCGAATTAGTGGATTTTTTTATATACAGAAACTGAAACTAAAGTTTTCACATCTATTTTGGTCCGCCCTCAAACACTGTAGTTTTATCTGAGGCCTGGAAGAGTTTGATTCGTGTTGTCGACATGAGGACTCAAACTAGAATTGAGACTGAAAACTGACATCATCATTACTGTTCGCGTCACTGTGTATCAGGCTCTGAGGAAGCTGAAATTGAAATATGGTAATAGGCGTTTCGCTATAAGCGGTAGACCAATCACAACAGACTGGGAGAATGAATAGTTCAAACTAATATTTTTCAGACTCTGAATGCATATAATGGATGCATATAAACCTGTTTTAGGAGCTCTCTGAAACAAAATTAGAAACCTTTAAAGTAGCATAATTGGGTCACTTTAGATCTCATATAAGGCTATTTAATGATATAATTATGTTTCTCCTCCAATTCGTTGTTCAAATATTATCATTTGAATGGTGGCTGTAATGAAAACTTGTTTTTTTATGATGGATTTTTTCAAACATCAAGACAACAGGTTGTCAAAATATAATAAATATGTAATATAATCCTTATATTTATCAGAGAGTTAATTATTGAGCTACAGGAAATTGGTCGTAGTGATTGTAAAAAACTGTAAACGTCATCATTTCAGTGAATGATTTTGGCCCTCAAAAACTGTTTTTTTTTTTTTTTTTTTCTGAAACCAATAATTCATTTTCACCCAAATACTTTCAGTTATCAATTTCGGTGCATCACTAACTTGTAATGTAATGAAATATTTGTCTTTTTATGTTACAGTACTTATTTATACACCGCTTTTCTTTAGAATGCCCATAAATGGAAAAAAGACCCCATAATAGGTCATCTACCAGCAGCGAATAACTGGATTGTGCTAACTAACTAAACCTTGACCCTTTTGTTCTTTTGATAGCTGGAGATTCGCCTTTTATCTTCTCGCCTTCATTGGCGGTCTTGTTGCACTGATAGACGTAAGTCATTTGCAGTTTCAGCCTGTTTTAACTCTCTGATTTCATTTCCTCTGCTGATTTATTGCATAACAAAATTCTTCCTCTCTGTGTCTTTCTCTAGAAACCCTGGTTGTACGATCTAAAGGAGATGTGGAAAGGGTTCCCCACTCTGGTGAGTTATATCTCCTTTATAAACATTGGGGCTGTCAAACGATTAATCGCGATTAATCGCATCCAAAATAAAAGTTTGTGTTTACATAATATATGTGGGTGCACTGTATATAATTATTTTGTATATATATATATATATATAAATACACACACATATGCATGTATATTTTAGAAAAAAATATTATTTATATATAAAATATTTATATATTATATAAATTATATATAAATCTATATACAGTATATAGATGAAAATATTTCTTAAATATATACAAGCATGTGTGTGTATTTATATATATAAAATAATAATACACAGTGCACCCACATATATTATGTAAACACAAACTTTTATTTTAGATGCGATTAATCGTTTGACAGCCCTAATAAACACGACACACTAAAGATAAGGCATCTTGTCATTTCCATCAAATAGAATATACTGTAGACAACGTACAACAATTACAAACAAACTTAACATGACCCTTACGAAAAAAGTGTACTTCGAGTTACTTTTAAGTAATGTTCATGTATATTTTTAAGTATACTTTATTTAGCAAGTATACTAATCTAATATCATTTTATACTTGAAGTAAACTTGTAAGTGGACTATTTCAATACTGCTTGGGACTACAGGTACAAGTATGTTTCTGAGAAGTACATAAATTATATTTTTGGAAGTACTTATTCTTTCATAAGGGGCTGCATATATGATGAATGAGAACCAAGCATTTGCATATAGCTTTGAATAGGAGCTTTCTTTATCTTTTTGTTAGCACCCATCAAGTTCAAAATAAAGAGAGAAACCCTTGTGAAAAAAAAGTTTGCTTTGAAATACTGGAAATAATATACTTTAAAGAACATACTGAAGTGTGAACAATTTAATGTTGTACATTTAAAATACAGGTCCCACTTTATATTCAGTGTCTTTAAGTACTATGCACTTAAATTAAAATTAATAATTTGAAACAATGGACTTATTGTTTACATACATGTTTTCACTTTGTATTTATATTTTAAAAATACCTGTAATTACACTGTTGCCCCTTCCCTTAAACTTTTAACCTACCCTTAAACCTACCCATAACACCACACCTGACCCTTACCTTACATTTATCAGACCATAAATGGCAGCAGAAGAGTTTTACAATACAACCTGAACATTTTATACATCATTGAACATTTTCAACCTAAGTACATTTTACTTTTTTTTTTAAGTTAGTACATAGTACTTAAAGCCACTTAATATAAAGTGGGAGCAAATGAATGTAATATTGAATAACAATGTAGTTACAATTACTTTACATGTGCTTTGTTAGTAAATAAGTGCATCAAATAAGTGTATTTTTGAACGACAAACGATTATTAAAGCATATTTAAAATGTACTTTAAATTAAACCTTTTAATTTCACATTATTGCAAAGTGCACTTTGAAAAAAAGCATTTAAGTCTGGTAAGAAACAGACATTCAAGTGTATTGTCTGAAACTGCACTTAAGTGGCCTTATATTTCATTAATATTATATTATCTGCAAGTGCAGTTTTTTTTTAGATATACAAAAGATTTGAAGTACAATGATAAATGATACTGTAAAAGAAATTCCTTGATAAAGGTATTGGTCATGTCACCACTTCTACTCAAGTAATCTGATTAGCATCAAACTGAATTTGCAGCCAAGTGATAACAATAAAGTCTGTTGATAAGCAATTAGATTGTGATAATAAAGTTACACATTATTTATAAAGCTCATGTCATCAAGTGATAGATTGCTGAAAGTTCTGAGTCTGTGAACCGTATGTTTCTCGTTCAGATCCTCCTGCCGTCTCAGTACTGGTACTACATGCTGGAGCTGGGTTTCTACACCTCACTTCTTTTCAGTGTGGCATCTGATGTCAAACGTAAAGTAAGTCTGCCATAAATCATACCGTCATCATATCGCACTGCAAACCTCATCTTTGCATCTCAATGAATTGTTTTATTCAAACATCTGGTTATTGTACACTTTATTTTTTGACCAGAACATTATTCAAAGCAGCAGTTTATGGGAATCTCTGCAGGCTGTTTTGTTTTTGCGGCAAGGTTGAAGACATATGTTTAGAATATGTTTCCATTTGCTACTTTTAGCAAAAAAGTAGCTGCAAAAAAAATCAGGAAATTGTGGAATTAAGTTTATAACGCAAAAAAAGAAAAAGAAAGAATATTATACTGGTAATTTTAATTAAAATATTTTTAAATTATTGTGAATAGGCCTAATTGTTGTATTTTTAAAAATGCTACTGAGTGTTAAAATGTTGCCTTTTGAATATTTACAGATTAAATTTGCAACCCCAAAAATGCTAGCCCAGGAAAATACAATGCATAAAAAATGTAAGCACTGTTAAAACAATCAGTTGTAAGACAACATGCTTTTTCAAAGACATTTGTCATTATTTTACTTCCATATGGCAGTTAAAAACTGTGATGTGGACCACCAACTTAGCTTTTAAGGCTTCATTATAGTGTCAAGTCATTTATTTATATAGTGATTTATACAATACAAAACAGCTTTACAATGATAACAGGAAAATGATGCATTTCCTGTTGTTCAGCTGAAGTCAGTTGAGTGTTGATTAAGAACCTTTTCAAAGGTCATTAATTATTAAATTAGTTACTTTAATCTATAAAGCACTTTTGCAAAAAATGATGTCACCGTCCAGCTCAGTTCAGTTCTCATTCAACAGCGTCAGTACAGTCATATCAATTATATTGTTGAACATTAAATATCTTGAAGTTTCAAAAAGTCTAAATAGCAAATGCATTTCATCCATCTGTTTGCCCATGGGCTGCTGGTCTGAAAACGAGGTGTGTTCAGGCACATTGTTGGTGCTTTGCTATTTTGAGGAACTGAAACAGATTGCGCCATTGACCAACTGAAACCTGGTCTAAAGTCAATGGCGCAGTATTTATTTATTTTTTGTTATTTTTAGGGTGCGTTAGTAATGTGCGCCTATAGGCGGGTCCACAGCGGATGTACACTCCGCTTATTACACATAGAGACGCACAGCAGCACACAAACAAGACAAATATAAAAAATAAAAGGATTACAATGTAAAAGATTAATATTGTGTGCACAAAGATGTGGTGGTATCCGGCTTGTCCCGTTGATGGTCTGCTTGCTCGCTTTAACCTCGCACACGAGCAGATCCGTTTCCTCTCTGGAGCGTTCAGTCTCTCCGCTTGCAAATTCCAACATGTAAATAAAAATCTTTTAAAAAAATAGCAAATAGCAAAGGAAATGGGAGATGTATTGTAATCCTAACTCTGGTTGTTTTTTTTTTGCACGTTACGCCCAAACACACTCATCACTCATTAATGGAGTAGTTCACTTTTAAAAAAAACTTTTGCTGATAATTTACTCACCCCCATGTCATCCAAGATGTCCATGTCTTTCTTTCTTCAGTCGAAAAGAAATTAAGGTTTTTGATGAAAACATTCCAGGATTTTCTCCATATAATGGACTTCAATGGGAACCAAACGGTTCAAGGTCCAAATGAAAGTTTCAGTGCAGCTTCAAAGGGCTTTAAACGACACCAGACGATGAATAAGGGTCTTATCAAGCGAAACGATCGATCATGATGCACATTTCGTGACTCTCCTGTTCAAACTCGTTCATCAAAATTGACAAATCTTTTCTCGAGTCATGACTCGAAGTGTCCTAGATCAGACCCTTGTTCATGGTCTGGTGTCGTTTAAAGCCCTTTGAACAGTTCGCAGTTTGCACTGAAACTCTCATTTGGATCTTGAACCATTTGGCTCCCAATGAAGTCCATTATATGGAAAAAAATCCTGAAATGTTTACATTAAAAACCTTAATTTCTTTTCGACTGAAGAAAGAAAGACATGGGCATCTTGGATGACATGGGGGTGAGTAAATTATCACCAAAAGTTTTTTTTTAACCCCTTAACTGTCACCGTCCCGGTACCGGGACACCTAACTTTACTTCACTATAATTCTATTAAATCCTAATCTAATTATGACAAATTATATATCGTTGGAAAGGTCTAAGACTTCTAAATAGATATTCTACCCCTGTTTAATGTTAAAAATTATGTAGGAAGAGTAATTGATGAATTTATGAAAAGAGTGCACCTCAAAAAAATCTGCATCATAACAAGAGTTTTGACCCTAGTCACAAAAAGTCGATGCACCCACTTTTAATCATTGAAACTTCTGTTTTTATGCTAAAAGTTCATAATAAAACATATAATCTAGTATTTTTCAATAAAAAATAAAAAATTATAATATAATATTATACTCTAAAAATGATAATATTTATATTTATTATCCTCTAAAATATAATATTATTTTTTATCGCCTTTTTATTATATCATATATTTTAGTAGTTATTATAAATTAAGTATCATTTGAAAGCTTATAAACTCAGAATTCCTCGTGTGAAAACTGTTTTATAATTGAAAGTTGCGTTACCATAGAAACGGTACTCATTTTATCAAGCTCCTCCCATTTTGAGCGTCATTATATTTCATAATTTATGATCAAAAACTTTTCTAATCTTGACAAAATTGATATTGTCAGAAAGGTCAGAGTCTCAAGGTTCCAAATTTTGTGACAGAATTGATATTTGGACAGAAATGTATTAATTTGTTAAGGCAGAATGTATACAACTAAATTCAATGGAATTCAATGGCACCCGGTGGCTATTTTTGGTACTACGCCTAAACAAAATCTCATGGGAACTTCAATTTTTGTGATATCAACTTCAAATTTGGAACATAACTTGATAAGATTTATGGCTTTGATTTTATAGAAATTTTAGAGTAAAAAATATTTTGTAAATATATATATTTTATATATAATAAAAAATATATAGTACAGTATATTTGATTTACTGTAAATTCAAACTTCCATAACTTTTTCATACTTTCATTTTTTGAAGTGTTTTCACTTCAGCAATATTCTGCTGAGTGTTTTCTTTAAAACAAGACCAAACTTGTGTATATATTCCAAAGCATTCTTAAATTACAACCATTTAAGTTTGAATAGTGCAATTTAACCCCCATTCTCAAAAGGGGGTGACAGCTAAGGGGTTAAAAGATAACTACTCCTTTAAGAGAATAGGGACAACCTTTTAGACCATGCGCCAGATACAGCGACCATTTGAGAGCTTTTTGACTCCCCCAGTCCATGTGACTGCAGTGTTTCAATCTTAATGTTATGGTGAAGGTCTGAAGGTCTTCCAGGTTTGTTACGACATGAGGGTGAGTAATTAATGACAGAGTTTTCATTTTTGGTTGAACTAACCCTTTAGTCGTGCAGGGCAATCACCCAGAAGAGTATTACAATAATGTAGCCTTGAGGTATTTTTCCGCATTTGTCATTGAGAGCACATATCGTAATTTATATATATATTTTTAAATGGAAGAACACTGTTTAACAGATTCTAGACACTTGTCTTTCAAATAAAAGACAGAACATCAAGTATTCTAGATTATTACATGCAGAGATTTTTGGTCCAATAGAATCTCTGTGGGGTTTTTTTTTTGTTTGTTTTTTGTTTTTTTAGAATTAAGTTGTAGGATTATTAGGCATCCAATTTTTTATATCCAACTATGCATTCCGTTAATTTTGTGAACTGGTATGTTTCGTCAGGGCATGAAAAAAAATATAAACACCATGCTTCCTAATGATATCTCCTAAGGGTAACATGTGCAGGGTGAAAAGCAAACGATCCTAGCACTGAGCCTTGCTGTACCCTGTACTGAATTTGTGATCAAACCTCTTAATTTACTGCCACAAATTGGCAACAGTCAGATAAGTATGATTTGAATCATGAACCATGCATTAAATGAAGCACTAAGATCCAGTAACACTAAAAAAGAGTTATAACCACGATCGGATGTAAAGGGCAAATCATTTGTAATGGTCTAATGCTGCGTTCATGTGCTATGGTAATTATGGTAAATACCAAAAGCCGACGTGGAAAATGCACATGAACACCCCCTCATGTGGTATTTTCCACTGGGCAACTCGTAGAATATTTTGATGGACGAGTTGCCGAGATGAGATAACCTTTGACCATTTCAAAAAAGCGGAGAGCACCGCGAGAGTCGTGAATGGTAATAAAATTATATACTATTCATGATCTAGAAAATATACAGCATATTATTTACCTTTTGAGTTTTGATAAATCATTTTCTTGCTGTAGCAGATGACTTAAGCAATCTAAAATAGTTTTAGCTAAATAACAGCTCTGGATCTCCATGTTTTTACCACATTACGACAACAAAAGCACTTGAACGCAACACACTGGTAAATACCAGTTCACAAGTGGAAAATATCCTACTTTCCATAGCACGTGAACGCAGCATAAATCCTAACTGGAAATCATTGCAGATTTAATTTCTTTCTAAAAAGGAACGCAGTTGTGATTGTTCTTGATTTTGGTGATTTAACAAGTTTAGACAATTCTCTCCTTTGGCAAAGAATGAATGGAATTGTTCCTCAGGGAGTCTATAACATGACATCTGATAGTAGACGCTTGCATGGTTATAATTTTCTTTCTAATAGTATCCATCTTGCAAGTAAAGAAATTCATAAAGTCGTTACTGCTGTTATGTTTGGAAACGTCTGAATTTGAAGCCTTATCACTTATTAATTTAGCCACTTTATCAAATAAATACCTAGGGTTGTGTTTGTTTACTATTAAGAGAGTCGAAAAGTAAGGAAATCTAGTTGTTTTTAAGGCCTTTCTGTATGCAATAACACTTTCCTACCACGAAATGTGAAACACCTCTAGTTTTGCTTTCTTCCAGTTGCGCTAAATTGCGCTAAGTTGCTCTCTTGAGGGCGCGAGTGTGCTCGTTATACAACAGTGTTGGACTATTTTCTATTTTCCATGAATGGTCCATGTCATAGTTTCTGTTGCAACATCGAGTTTGTTCAAATACTGTTCAAATATATGTTAATATTCACACAACTCCACTCAAGGATGGTGGAAAATGGTCATTATAAACACAATTTTGAAAGATATATTGACTAACATTATAACTGGACCTCATGGGAAGGTAAAGAAATTATAAACAATTGAAATGTATTAGCTGTGTGTAATTTAAACTAGTGAGTCAGGGATCATGATTGAGTTGCTTTGTATTGCACTGTTGTCTTTATAATGAGAGGTGTAATATTGTACATCTCATAATAGTATAATGATATCAGCGTTATATTATGCTTTCTTCCAGGACTTCAAAGAGCAGATCATTCATCATGTGGCCACCATCATACTGATCAGTTTCTCCTGGTGTGTTAATTACATCAGAGCGGGAACGCTCATCATGTTCATGCATGATTCAGCTGACTATCTACTAGAGGTGAGTCGAACAACCAGAGACAGAGACCCAATGGGACGTCAATGTGATTTTGTTAAGAGAGTGGACTTGGATAGGTGTTGTGTATATTAGTGATTAAAAATCTGAGCATATTAGTTGTGCAAATCTGCATATTAGAATAATTTGTGACTCTGAAGACTGCAGTAAAGATGCTGAAAATTCAGCTTTGCATCACAGAAGTAAATTACCCTTTACAAAATATTTTTTAAATGACAATAATATTTTACAATCTTGTTGTTTTACTGTATTTTTGATCAAAATATCTCAGCCTTGGTATGCATAAGAGACTTTCAGAAACATTACAAAAATCTTATAGACCCCAAACTTTGAGAACAGATCTGTAGAAAAACCATTTCTGTCTCGCTCCATATCTTCTATACACATCAGTTTCTCTCCCTCATATCATCTCTCTCTCTCTCTCTCTCTCTCTCAGTCAGCTAAGATGTTTAACTACGCGAGATGGAAGAACGCATGCAACTACATCTTCATCCTGTTTGCTGCGATCTTCATCGTCACACGCCTCATCATCTTCCCTTTCCGGTACACATCTCATCTGTATCTCTCTCTCTCTATTTCTCCCAAACACACGTTGTTGTCATCACCAGTTTCGATTATGATACAGTTTTTGTGTGTTCCTGTGGATATAAGCTAGATTATACTTTATAAGTAAAGCCAGGTGTTAAAATGTTTGATTGAGAACAAAGACAAAGTAAGTGTGTGTAATACTGTAAAACATTGCAAATTAGTACGAGGCCTTAAAAGGCAGCTCCATATGTAGGCAGTAGACAGAAAGGCAGCTCACTAGGTAATGTTACATGGCAGGAGAACAGTTCTTACTCATCATAAAGTAAAAAAGTATGACTTTAATAATAAAAAAAAGATGAAAAATCCTTTGAATTCCTATCACCAAGGCCATTGGCACCTCTGTAGGCATTTGTTATGATAAATAATGTACAAAAGTTGATTATGTTTATATAATACTGCCCATACACTTTATTTTAAGCCATTTTAAAGGGGTCCTATAATGCTTTTTCACTTTTCTAACTTTAGTTAGTGTGTAATGTTTCTGTTTGAGAATAAAAAAGATATAAAAGGTTACAAAGTCCACTCCAAAGGGAGATATTTAATTCAAGAACTACAACGAACGACTCGTTTGGACTACAACGCATTTTTTCCGACTTTTGTGTGAAGTCATTATTTTACTCATTTAAATAATCCCCACTCACGGAATATGCAAAAAAGGGGGCGGGGCCTGGTTGAGCTGCATTAGAAAAGACAGTAGCCCCTTTCACACATACAGTCTTTACCGGTCACAGATCATGTGTAAACAGGACCTTTTCAAATATATAAGGGAAGTTGTAACATTACCAGTTAGTTACCGGTATATGCGCTGTGTGAACACAGAATATAGGTTACCGGTATTTTGCACCTACAAGGTCAGAACGCGCTGATGTAAGAAGTTATGTGGGCAACGGCTCTGGGCCATTCATAAAATGATCACGCGTTTACTCATCTCTGTTTACAAATGTCTTCAGTGATACTGAAACTGAAGCGCTTCTCCTCGGCCGGTCGGATATTTGGCAGAGATTTGGCAACAAAAGTTGGTATGATAAATAACTAGCCTTCTCTTGGAACTTCCAGTTAATGACATCATCACAGAGTTTACCAGTATTTTGTAACTGATGTGTGTATGGTCTATTACTGGTATAAAAAAAAACAGAACGCTGTTGCTTCTGTGACCAGCACTTTTTTGCAATGACTGGTAAATTCGTTCTGCCAATTTTACTGTAATTTGTCGGGATGGCTGTGTGAAAGGGGCCAGTGTTGTCGCTACGTTAAAGAGACGCTTTTTGTAAGATGGTTCACCGTTACTGTTTTTATTACCATAGTTTCCCCACAAGTGTCATGATTAAATGGTGGATAACATCGTATCTAAAGTGTTTAAGGCAAGAAAAAGGCAAGTTTATTTATATAGCACATTTCATACACAATGGCAATTCAAAGTGCTTTACATAGAAGAAATTAAAATAATCAAAATAAATCAGAATAATTAAAACAGTTTAGAATAAAAAATAAGAAATAATGAAAAATAAAAATTATGATAAAAATAAAATACAGTAAATTAAAACTATTTAGAATAAAATGAAGTGCAGAAGAATGAAGTTTAAGAAAATTATAAACATGCCCCTCTGAAACGTCCTGTGAAATCTGTGCTTGAAATCCGTTTGGCGTGATCCTCTTGTTTGTTAACATTGTTAAGTCTAAATCAGGCTTGAATTGGTTTGAAGTTATTTACATCTCAGTAGAGCTCACGGTTATGGTAAGGGGCGTGACATTTCCCAAACACAAGACACTGAGCCAGCTAACCAATCACAGCACATTTCACATAAAACATTTCTAAACCGAAATTAAACGGCGTATTTGGACCAGATTGGGGAGAGAGGTGCTGTAATAATGTAAAATTATGTAATATAACATATCTTTTTAAAAAAGCTTTTATGAAGTCTTGATATTGTTTTTGGGGTAGTATACTAGAATATGCCCCTCTTTTAAATTTATTATTGATTTTAAATTTTTAATTATATTACTATATGGTCTGTAGCACTTTGAGATTGCTAAAATGTAAAGTGCAATACAAATAAAATGTATTATTATTAATTTATTATTAATGTTTTTTGAACTATCAAGCATGAAAGCATATTCTAGTATACTACCCCAAAAACAATATCAAGACTTCATAAAAGGGCATAATAGGACCCCTTTAAAGGCTATGGTTTATTGGTCTATTTTTACTACCACACCAAAAAATATCATCCAGTTAGTTGATTAATCGTCAAAATAATCGACTGATTACTCAATTACCAAAAAATCTTTAGTGACAGCCCTAGATTAGTTAAAACATTTCAAAATGTTTTGTTTTGTTTTGCACCCGTATTGTTTTGCATGTTTTTACATTCAGTCGATTAAAAGTCCAGTCCTATACTTAAAATTAGCATTGAAATATTGTCTTGTCTTGTTCTCGTGTATCATCTCATCTCGATTACTAATAAAAGGCAATTTCCCAACAGCAAAATTGTGGCCAGTGAAAGTGCTGAGTGGTTACTGAGGAAAAAAAGGTAATGTCAAGCCTTGCATATAACTCACGTGTTTCTGTCTTTCTCACAGGATCATGTACTGTACGTGGGTGTATCCCGTGACCCTGTACCCTCCTTTCTTTGGATATTACTTCTTTAACGGGCTGCTGATGGTTCTGCTGTGTCTGCACATCTTCTGGGCCGCTCTGATCATACGCCTGGCCTTCCGCTTCTTGAGCTGTAATGTACGTCTGTGGGAATTCATATGCACTTTTTTTTACACAGTTTTACCAGTAACAGATAAACTGTTTCCGTTTATCTCATGAAAATAGTGTAAGGTTGTACACATGGGAGACCAGGGGTGACTAAACACAAATTTGAAAAGGGCAAATTCTCTGTTAAGTACGTCTAACACATTTTCAATTACAAGTTTGGTCCCACTTTATATTAGGCTGTCTTTAACTCCTATACTTACTTATTGTACATTTCTGACATTGTATTTGCAACATTAAAGGGATAGTTCACTTTGAAATTAATTTTTGGTATGTTTTAGCTAACCTCAAGGGCATCCAAGATGTCGGTGTCTTTGTTTCCGCAGTTTTTTCAATTTTGATATTTTTAGGTCAAACCGTTCTTGTCTGTCAGTCATATAATGGAGGTCTATGGTCACCACCTCAAAGAGCATGCACAGAGAAGTCCAGATTAAACATGATTTAATGACTCGTAAATGTAAGCACACATTGATGGCCTAAGACACGAAACGAGCGGTTTGTGTGAGAAAACGAACAGTATTTATATAGTCTTTACCTCTTGTAACCATTTACAAGTTACACTCGTTCATATCATGCACTGTAAAAGAAAAGTGCCACGTTTTTAAATATATTTGTAATTACACATTTGTAAATGATGTAGTTTGAATTTAGTATGTTTAAAATATATTAACTTTTAATCTAATTTTGGATAACACGCAGTTAAAATTATATTCTCAAGCACTTAATAATAAGCATACTTTTTTAAAGAGAGACACTTTCATGACTATGTTTCTTAACACACTTGAGTACACTTTAATAATATCAGAATAAAGTTTTTTTTTATGTATAATTTTGTTTTAATAATATTTTAATTAATATTGTAATTGTATTATCTGCCAGTATTTAAAAAAAATCAGATTTGAAGTACACTACAAGTACACAATTAAGCACACTTCTTTTTCACAATGGATTGAGTCACTGTTTCATGAGTCATTATTGCATTTATGCTTCAGTTGGTCCGTGAGCTGTGTGAAAATCATTTTTTGAATATCACACGTTTTGTTCCCTGGAAAATAGACAGGTGACAGAAGATTTGGGATGAACTATCCCTTTAAACCAGCTGTCTCTGTAATTCTCTCCCGTTCTTTCTCAACAGTCGTCGGTTGAAGACGAGAGGTCCGACAGAGACGAGACGGAGTCCGAGGAGGAAGATGAGGTGAAAAACGGAGAGATAAAGAAAAACGGACCCGCTCGGAATGGTCACGCTAACAACAACCACTCTAAAACAGAGTGACGTCCCGAGAGGACAGGAGAAATGCTCAGAAACACAAAGACTCTTCGGAAGCAGAACAGAGAAGAGTGAAGAACAGAGGAACAATCCCAGTTTTACGAACAGATAATCGCTTTGTACACTACAGAGTACAGACACAAACACACTTACAGTAAGTCATCACATGAACACAGGCACATCGATTCCAAGTGCCAAACATAGAGCAACGCTGCCTTACAGATCACCTAAAAATCAATATCATTTACTGATGTTGTTCCAAACCTCTATGACTTTCTTGGAGTTATTTATAGCAGAACGTCCAAACTGCTCTTGCCTATAGAATGAAAGTCAATGGTGACCACAGCAGTCAAGCAAGATATTCAGTTTCGAAGCTGTTGTACGGACTTCTTTTATGGTGCATTTTTGTGCATTCTAGAGCTCATTTTATTGTATGGAAGAGAGCAGCTCAGACATTATGCTAAACTTTAGTTTTTTTATGTCCTAAATGAAAAAGCCATGTGGGTTGTGGACAACATGACGACAGAACACTTGTTTTAGGTGAACTGTCCCTTTAAATAGTGCCTTCCTTTGCCCTCGTTTGCTCTTTTTCATGCCTTGCTTTTCTTGTGGGTTTCTGCAATCTCTTTCCTATATGGAATAAAAAAAAAAGGTAATTTTGACAATTTTGAATTTTTTCTCACAGTTGTGAGTTTATTTCTTGCGATTTGGTCTTTATGACTGTGAGTTTACATTTGACAATTCTGAGGAAAACGAACAAAACTCAGAATTGCGAGATATAAAGTCAGAATTGTGAGAAACTCGGAATTGCGAGAAATAAAGTCAGCATTTTATGAAATAAACTCGCAATTGCTAGAAAAAAGTTTATAGCTCACAATCTCTCTTTTTTTTTCTTTTCAGAATTATGAGAAATAAAAATCAAAGTTGTAAGTTATAAAGCTTTCTCAAAAAAAGCGGCGCTGGTTCCGGAAGTATTTTTTTATATTCATTCCCATAGGATTTTTTTTTTTTTACGTTTTTGTTAAAGCGCTATATGCCTTGAACCGAACCAAACCAGCCAGCTACGAGGTGAATAACAACATTACAAACTTTGACTTTAAGCACAAACGTATTTGAACACTTAGCAGCTTTAGTGACAGAAAGAACTACAATCCCATGAGGCATTGTGAACAGCACAATAAAATAAAAAAATATAGAGAAATATAAAACTATAAATGTTGATATATATTAGGGCTGTCAAACGATTAATCGCGATTAATCGCATCCAAAATAAAAGTTTGTGTTTACATAATATATCTGGGTGCACTGTGTATAATTATTTTGTATATTTGTATATATACACACACATATGCATGCATATTTAAGAAAAAAAAAATATTTATATATAAAATATTTATATTTATATATAATATAAATTATATATCAATCTATATACAGTATATACATGAAAATATTTCTTAAATATATACAAGCATGTGTGTGTGTATTTATACAGTATATATAAAATAATTATACACAGTGCACCCACATACAGTTGTGTTCAAAATAATAGCAGTCCAACATCACTAACCAAATCAATCACTGTTTTTGGTAGAAATTATATTTCTACATGGCAAATGATTTACTAGTAGGTGTAGTAGAGTAATAGAAAAACAACAGACCCAACAGTCATGACATGTATGTTGCTAGTTCTCTATAATTGAATCATTAATTGAAAGGGGTGTGTTCAAAATAATAGCAGTGTGGAGTTCAATTAGTGAGGTTAATAATTCTGTGAAAAAACTAGTGTCAATTAGTGGCCCTTATTTAAGGACGAAGGCAGTACTGGACTGTACATGGTGGTTATAGTGCATTTCTCTCTGAAGATCTGAATAAAATGGGCCGTTCCAAACATTGTTCAGAAGAACAGCGTTCTTTGATTAAAAAGTTGATTGGAGAGGGGAAAACTTATAAAGAAGTGCAGAAAATGATAGGCTGCTCAGCTAAAATGGTATCAAATGCTTTAAAATGGCAACCAAAACCAGAAAGACGTGGAAGGAAACGGAAAACTACTGTTCGAATGGATCGAAGAATAGCCAAGATGGCAAAGACTCAGCCAATGATCAGCTCCGGAGTGATCAAAGAAGATCTCAAGTTACCCGTGAGTACAGCAACAATTAGAAGACGCCTATGTGAAGCCAAGCTATCAGCAAGAAGCCCCCGCAAAGTCCCATTTTTAAAAAAACGACATGTGCTGAAGAGAATACAATTTGCCAAAGAACACATTAACTGGCCTAAAGAGAAATGGCGCAATATTTTGTGGACTGATGAAAGTAAGATTGTTCTTTTTGGGTCTAGGGGCCATAGACAGTTTGTCAGACGACCCCCAAACACTGAATTCAAGCCACAGTACACTGTGAAGACTGTGAAGCATGGTGGCACAAGCATCATGATATGGGGCTGTTTCTCGTACCATGGTGTTGGGCCTATTTATCGTATCCCACAGATTATGGATCAGTTTGAGTACATCAAAATACTTAAAGAGGTCATGTTGCCTTATGCTGAAGAGGAAATGCCCTTGAAATGGGTGTTTCAACAAGACAACGACCCAAAACACACCAGTAAGCGTGCAGCATCTTGGTTCCAGACCAACAAGATTAACGTTATGGAGTGGCCAGCTCAATCCCCGGACCTTAATCCTATAGAAAACCTTTGGGCTGACATCAAAAATGCAGTTTTTGAGGCAAAACCAAAAAATGCAGAGGAACTGTGGTCTGTAGTGCGATCGTCCTGGGCTGGAATACCTGTTCACAGGTGCCAGAAGTTGGTCGACTCCATGCAACACAGATGTGAAGCAGTTCTCAGAAACCATGGTTATACAACTAAATATTAGTTCAGTGATTCACAAGAAAGCTAAATCTTCAAGTATTTTTCAGTTTATACAGTAAATGTTTGACTTTGTAAGGAAAAATGCAGACACTGCTATTTTTTTGAACAGCCTAATTTACCTTTTTCTACACTTTCTATAAAGTAAAAACAAATTTCATAAATTTTTCTTTATGTTTTGATCTTGAATAGAATGTGCAGTGTTCCCAATGCATTTTTGTGTATTGAAATAAAAGTTGTTTTTAGGATTTTGAGCTTTACTCATTTTTTTGAACACACTGCTATTATTTTGAACATAACTGTATATTATGTATATACAAACTTATATTTTGGATGCGATTAATCGCGATTAATCATTTGACAGCCCTAATATATATATATATATATATATATGTGTGTGTGTGTGTGTATTAGTATATAATATTTGTATATATTTGCAACTTTATAAACTTTATATATATATATATATACCTAATGTTTATAAAGTTGAAAATATATACAAATATTCTAGTGTTTTTAGATTCGATTACATCATTCGCAGTGCTTTGTGTGAGTGGGCGGAGCTAAAGAGATCAATTGGCATGTTTTGCTTTGATTGGTTGCATTTTCTATACAACATAACAGCTAATGTAGTTTTCCACCACAAATTTAATTGTTAAACACTATTATTTTGATATAATGAAGACTGATGGCTTCAACAGAATCAAATACCATCGATTACCAAACACACAGCTCACAAAAAAATCTGTTTTTAAAGGTTTATAAGTTCTCCCTATGGAGAAAAATGAATCTTTTCTCTTCCATTTTTACTTCTTTTACTACTTTTAAAAATGAGTTTTTACTTCCGGAACCGCATCACTCTATTATGAAATATAAAAAAGATACAGTATATTCAGTCACAACTGAAATACATTTGAATACAAAGCGGTTTAGTCTTAAGGTGCTTTCACATTAGCAAAATTTTGCTGTCAAAAAATATTGTCTGTTGTGAATAGCGTAGCAACGTATGAACAGCTCACACAGAAGTCACTTAAATCAAGCGGCAAATCCATGTTCAATATGCGTTGTTCAAAGTCTCACCCTCGCCTGAAACTCACGATGTCATGGATTCCTATTGAAATGACGAATGACAAAAATTTGCCAAACTATTATACAGTGGGATTGTTTTTTACTTCTATAAATACAGTACTTCCATCCATGTTTTATGTCATTTAAAAGTGCACTCAGTATGTTTTCCTCACTGCATTGCACTTCAGTGTCAGTATAAACCCAAGACGACTGCCATATCAGCCAGCGCATTACAAACCAAAAAATACTGAGTGCACCTTTAAATATGGCTATGGTGCCAAAATATCACACACTTTCTGTAAACCAAAGGAAAACCATGCGGGACACTGCCATAATATAGTTTACATGGCAGTTTTTGACATGCAAACCACTTCCATAAAGTGATTCCCCAATTTATAATATTAACCCCATATTTATTATTATTCCTGAGCAACACACACTGGATAAAGTTGTGGCATGTCCGTTGTCACAGATTCTGAATATTCACAAGCCGCAAACCAAAGATAGAAAGAATCTCGCTCAAAGCGGCCAGTACTCTTTACATTTCCATTCAGATTCAGTCTGACTAATTTAAAGCATCTCGTTCACACTGTCCTTCTCTGATTTCATCATTCCTCCCATTGTCCTCTGTGCATTTCAAAAGCTGCCAGATTACAGTGTTATCTTTATTTTGTATTTTTCCTGTGTTTTGTTATATGTTGATATTATTATGGAGAATGTTAACAATAAAATCCTGAACGCGAGTCACACCTGATGTGTTTGTCTGATTTCTCTGACATAATACTGTTAGTTATTGTATATGTGTAATTACATATGTAAATAGCTACAAGCCTACATTTCAATTTAGCATTTATGCGTATCAGAAGGCTACTTATTTTTTTTTTCAAGATATAAGTAATAATGAAATTACATATAAAGTTGTACCAACTAAAATTCAGCTAATTTAAATTATTATACATTTTTTTAATTTAACTGCAATAACATTACAAATGAATAGATAGCTCACCCAAAAAGGAACATTTTTGGGTGAACTATCTCTTTAAGTGTTAAGGAACATTTCATGATTCACAGTTTCTGTAATACGTATGCAACACTTTACTAAGTAGTAATTATTTTTTACAACGCTCATAATTCGCGAAATCTGTCGTCTAGCTGTATTTAGCGTTGTAGGACATTTTAAATGTCAAGTGAACCACTGAAACTGTCAAAGTCAAGTGAACTTCAGCATCCTAACACCTCTGAATCGGAATGCAGAACAAGAATTGCACGCAAAGAAATGTTCAATGAATGGAAGAAATGCCACTCTAGAGTCTCTTCCGTGCGGAATCACGTGGCATCCAGGGCCTGCTGCGATTGGTTACACATTATCGCTTATAAGTTAGGCTGCTTTTACACTTGAAATCAACATTGAAATCCGAGTTGCTTTCTTAATGCACGTTCCTTTCTTATTTTGCAAGATTCTTCAGTTCATGTTTGTCAAATACTACTAATAAAAATAATACTTAAATCTTGATCTGTTATCAAAATATGCAAATCTTTCAACACTTTTCAGCAGACGTCATCAGTCTTGTCTAATATTATTTAACCCATTCCCTACAACAAACGATAGGCTAAGTCTGATACCCAAATGGCTACATCTATATCATAATGTGTTTACAGTATAAGAAACAAAAACACATATAATAAAACCAATAACAGAATTTTAATCGCCACATAGGTCATGTTGAATGTTATACTCTATGTTGTATTTTTTATATTTGGGATAATTTTTAGTGTTTTACTAGCTCTAATTTTACTCTGTAATTTTATTTTTATTTCAGTGTAGGCTACTTAATTTGACATTTTATTAAATTGATTGTTGTACCAACAATATTGACAGAGCAATAAAGTGTCATTAATGCAAATAAAAATAACAACATTCAGTTAAATAAAATATAATAAGATACTTTGAACAAGAAATTTAACCTTTTTATGGAAGCCCATTTCTCCTACATAAGAAAAAAAGATTATGTAGGTCAGAATCATGACATAAAAAGTCGAAATTTGTACTTGAAAACCAGAATTATGACCTAGTATGTCACAATTCGGCTTTTATTGTTATGATCGAGATTTACTAAAGTATATGATATATATGTATATCTGTATGAATCTTATATTTATCTACTTTTTACTATATATATATATATATATACTTTTTACTCTCTCTCCCTCTTTCTTTCTCTCTCTCTCTCTCTCTCTCTCTATCTCTCTCTCTCTCTCTCTCTCTCTCTCTCTCTCTCTCTCTCTCTCTCTCTCTCTCTCTCTCTATATATATATATATATATATTTATTTTATTATTTATTTTATTTTTTGGTGAAATGTGTTCGAAACGGCGCACGCTGGTGACCCCTCCCGGTCAGAACAGTGTAAATGCAACTCGGGCCAAACAAGCATAAAAAAACCTTTTACAAACACATTGCAGATGTTTTATTGCAAGTAAAATCGACCAAATGCAATTATCTAATCATATAATTAGATTAAATATCAAGTGTCCGAGTAGTATGTGTTCTTTCATCTATTTGCAGGGCTTGTTTTGTATGTTCCATGATGGCTCATCTAAACAAGCCTACTATTATTCGTTTTAATTGTATTAATGTCTAATTAAAACGTGTGCAAATACAAATGTAACAATCTGATCAGATATTGAAATTACGAAACGTTTCGAAACAGTTATGACGTAACGAAGCCTGCTGAAATCACGTGACTCTGGCAGTTTGACACACGCTCCGAACCACTGATGCGAAACAAAAGATTCGTAAAGGTTTTGAAGCTTCATGAAGTAGTCCATCGAAATTCGCCGGTCAACACTACCTCAACAATCGGGTGTTTCAGTCTATTTTTTTGGTCTATGCTTTCCTGCATAGTCTGCTTTGACGCAGAGTGGCGCATCTAGCTCGTGCAGAGACTCTAGTTTCCTCCTCTGACGCGTTTCTGCTGCTTACTGGAAGATTACAGGCGCCATCTTGGATCAGGAGAGGTTTTTAAACTGGAAAAAGTCAAAGAGCAGAAAAGAAAAACAACTATTATACGTCTGCAAACCCGTCCGTTCGGGCCTGCGGTGAGGATGACACTCGGTTTAAATTCATGACATCGGTTTTAAAGTACTTTTGAAAGACTCGAACGGAGGTAAAACCGCACTGGAAAAACAAACAAACATTGGACAGGGAGATTTTTCTCTGCAGCTGAGAAAGTTGTTTTGTGTTTGTTCGCTCGCAAGAGAACACATTTGCCTCTAAGATATGACATCAACGGATCCAGGTAATGTATAAAACACATTTTTACAGGATTATGCTGTTAAGTATCTGAGTTGTGCTCTTGGGCTGGTAACGTTAGCGGTTAGCTCGACTGTTAGCTAACGCAAGCTCATGCAGTAAAACTGGAATCACGTTTGCCGTTCGGGTGCTTTTCTGTGAGAGTAGTATCAAAAAGCAACAAGCTTCAGCTGCAAAGGGCCACAAGATCGGTGACAGTTTGATCTGACACTTGTAGCAGTGTGTGTGTGTGTGTGTGTGTGTGCGTGTGTGTGTGCGCGTGTGCGCGCGCGCGCAGCTGTCATTCACACACAGGCCCAAAACAACATTCACATGTTCGGAATGGACTGAAGTTACTTGCAGGGAGATTTGTGTTGATCCTGATTCAGGTCAGCTTTACTTATAAGAGATTTATTGATTTGTTCTACACAACAGCATCAGAGAGTTTTCAAAAATGTGGGAGGGTTAATTACGTTTTTGATAATTAAGTGACTTATTACTACTAGAAAGTTCAAAAGAACAGCATTTATTAATAGATAAATAGAAATATTTTTATAACAGCATAAATGTCTTGTGATAAATTTAATGCATCCTGTTTAAAATAATTTATTTAAAAATCTTACTGAACTTAAATTGATCTGTCCTGCAGGTAAAAGGGTTGGACAATGAAACTAATGCCTTGTTTCTACCTGGCAGTACAGTACGAACAGTTCAGTACGGTACAGTTCAGTACGGTACGTAATTTTTAGCCATTTTCAGTGTCAGAAGTTGTGAATGGTTTCCTAATTCTGAACCGTACCTTGACACTTTTTGGGGACCCTTTCTTTGGGGTACCTGGCACAGAAGTCCGGTACTAAACGGTGTAGTTAGACTCACTGCAGAACTGTGTTTGGTTGACAGAGAATCGTCCCTTGTGCGGGCTACTAGGGGATTGACCACACAAAAGGTGCCATTTTTTTAAATACAGTTAACACAATTCTCTTTATTCTTGTGACTAACAGCCACAATGCCGAGAAGCAAGAACTAGGTCTGCTGTATGTTATTTACTGTGTTGTTTTATAGGGATGGGAATTGGCAAAAATGTGACAATTCGATAGTATTGCGATATTTGGGCCATGATTCAATATAATTGCGATTCTTAACATATTTCGATAGGAATACTGCAAGTATTGCGATTCGATTCTGATCTAGTGTGATTCATCTCCCCCAAAAATTCATTTTTTGTTTTGTACAGGCAGTTTGTAACTCTTCTAAATGCTTGTTATTACAGCATATTAAACAGAATTTGAAGGAAATACCAGCCTATACAAAAGAATAAAACAATTACTGTTACACTATTCATTTCAGTAATAGCTCCTTGTATCAATCATTTAGACCAAAGAAGATACACATTCTTGCAATATGAATTAAGGAGCCTACTAGAATAGTAAAAATACAAAATTTAAAAATATAAAAAGTAAAAATATATAAAAGTAAGAATATAATAATAATTTATAATATTTAAATATTTTAATTAAATAATCTATAATAATTTAATCATTAATTAATTTATTATTATTATTAATAATAATAATAATAGTAAATAAAAATATAATATAATATTTTTATATAAAAATAATAATTTTTATATAAAAGTAAAAATATAAAATTTTAATTTGAAAACTCATTTGCATGCTCTTTAATTCAACCTTTATAGAGACCGCCGATCAAACATCCTAAAACGATTATCGGCCGATTATGATCGGCGACTGATCAATCGGAACACCCGTAGAACTGTGAGGTCCTGTCCTGTAACGCTCGGTGGAAACTAGGGCTGGGTATCGATTCACATTTCAATTTCGATTCGATTTCGATTCACAAGCTCTCAGTTCGATTCGATTTCGATTCTCGATTCAATTTTCGATTTCGATTCTCGATTCCTGATTTGATTCTCGATTCGACTATAATGAAGATGTAATACAAATCCTAATATTTATAAAAAAGTACAATGGACATAAGTTTACTAGTGGTTAATTAATACAAGGAAATTAAGAGCCATAAACCTGTATATAAAACTCTTTTTATTTTAGGTACACTAAATGCATACAAAGAATAAACAGGATTTTGATGCAATATGCAAAAAAAAGTCAGAACAGTCGCACAGCTTGATCAAACAGTATCATGTTATTTTATGTTTAAGATAAATATAGATAAATAAATATATAAATATTTAGACATTTTTTTTAAATTGATCTTACCTAAATGGTAATGTAATTTTTTTGTTTATTTTTGTTTTAAGAGTTTATGTATGGAAGCTTGATTTCAATCTTTGAATTAAATTGAAAAAAGTAGCACAAATAAATAGAATAGAATAAAGACACAAATTAAGAGACATTTTGGGGTAGTTCTTTGGGTATGTCAGAAATACTACAGAAACTGAATAAAGTAATCCAATGTAAAATAACACTGGATAGTCTTTTTAGTCCAGACTGAATTAAATACAAAGGCTATTAATTCTGATTGCTTACAATTAATACTATATTCTGTTGTTATGACAACAGAATTAATGACTGACACAAATGGCTGCGTTCACTTTAAGAACTAGTGCGCAAATCCATTACTGTTTCATTAACTTTGTCACACGCGTTTAATGCTAATTTAAGACATTACCGGCTGTCTATACGAGGTTACTCACCAAGACCAGAGTTTTGACATAATGTCGCGTGTTTTAACTGTTAAAGTGATATAATCCAGGGATAAAACTTTTGTTTCTGGCGAGCTGTTTGTGAGGCAGATTTAGGCTGTACTGTAACTGTGCACGCAGTGAAAGACATCTCTGAGAGTGCGCGAGCACGGGATTGGTTTAACATTGCTTGTAAAACTTAGAAAGACGTGAAAATGATAAACGTTAGTTACGATGCAATGCTGGCCCGATTGTTAAGTGAATATTCCGTCATGTCCTGACTGCTAAACACGTGTGTGTATCAACAGCTGCAACGCTTGGCGCTTGCCTAGTGCAGAGATACGAGAAGATGCAGCACCGCGTCTGCGAGCCCTTTATATGGAAAAAATCGATTCGTGGCCGTTGAGAATCGATTTTTGAATCGAACACATTTTAAAAAACGATTAATCGAAAAATCGATTTTTTTTTCCCAGCCCTAGTGGAAACGAGGCATAAGGGTGTTCACATTTGGCATGTTTGGTTCGATTAAACGGACCCTGGTGCGATTGCTCTGTTAGGGTGTTTTCACTCCTGAGCGTTTGTTTCTGAACCTGGTGTGTTTTGGCACATTTTGGTTCGATCACTTCAAAAGGTTGCCCTGTGAAAGCAAACTGAATCAAGAAAAAAGAACAAAACGAACAATCTATAGGTGTGAAAACAGTGCGGTTCGTTTGAATAAGTGTGAACGCTCACATTCAAACCCTGGTCACCAAACTAGTGGACCAAGACCCCTGAAAAAAGGGGTCACTCTGGCGTGCTTCACTCTGGGCAGCAACAGTCTGTGTGTTGAGCCACTTTGGGGCTTCTCCATACTGTGACTCTCATGAATGTGGGAAAACAATGAAGATGGACTGATAAAGAACAATCCTTGGGAGAACCCAGGCTCAGTCAGGGGGGCCAGTTCTCCTCTGGCCAATGAACGAACAGTGTATGATTATGATTCACAATAGATCAGAGAACAATACATGTTTCACATTTTCCACAGCCCAAGATTTAAACTGTCGGCACCATTGGCATTGGCACGAGTGACCAAAGGATTGGCTTTAGCAGCCCCACCATGAAAATTGACTCTGTGGAGTGAGTTTCCTGACTAACCGTTTTGGTGGAAACGAGAGTCGAGGTGCGCATTTAATTCCCCAGTGAGTTGGGCAGCTGTGGTTTTATGTTTTTTGGATTCAATCTGGGTTTAGTACCTAGATATCCCTTTCAGACAGCTTCCTCTTGCGTCGACAGTTGCTCCGGTTGGACGTGGTGCGTCTTTCATGGGGGAATGCCGACGACATTACATTGTATACCACAGCTTGATGCACCACAGACTTGCTGTCCTGGTCACAGATAAGAGAGTGATACATGCACCAAAAATGTGTCCTCTTTTAAGCTCTGATAAGTCTCCTATGATGTGGTATTGTGTGCAGTATTTTATGTACAGCGAAATATAAATTCAGGGAAGATTGGCCCCACAAGACTGCATGTATATGTGAAACCTCTCAAAAAAAAAATGTTTTTCTGAAAAAACGTAAAAATTTAAATCTTAAATTTAGGGTGCAGATTTAACATGTCAATGTTGACAACCTGCAACAAGAAGGAGCGCCAAATGCGTGTAAAACTAGTGTTTCCTCCCAGGACTGATATGCAGTGGAATCATTAAAAAACTCTTATTAAGCAGCCAAGAAATGCGATCTGTCAGTGTGTAATGTTAGAAGGTGAAAAGCCCAAAAAGCCCTTACTCTTAAAAATGCTAACAATTATTGAAAACCTTACAGTGGTCCTAAAAGCGGCCTGTTGGGCTGTTGTGTCCGTACATGGCCAAAGAAAGAAATGAGGAGCTGGCCATAACCAGACCCATTATCCAGCTGAAGGCCTATCGTTTCTTGGTTTGGCTGCGCGCTTGACTGTTAGTTTCTTCCTTGAACAAGGGCTTTCCCTCCGACTTCAGGGAGAAACTGCTGTCTTTTCAGCGCCAGCCTATGTGATTGGCTTAAAGAAAAAGCATTCATATCCCTTGGATCAGATAGGTAATGTGGGTCAAACACCTGCGTTTCGTTTTTGACATGCCAACATCTGTCACTTCATAAAAAAGTTGAGAATTCAGTCATTGTGAAATCTACTGGAAATGAGAACTACGGGTTATTCTTATGGTATGGCATGAAGTGTTTATTTTTAAATGTGATTGTTGGTATATTTTTTACCAGTATTTACCATTCCTTCATTTATGTATAATTCAATGATTATATAAAAAAAATATGTGAAAATTATTTTAAAAATAAATATATTTTGTTTTAAAAAAAGACTAGATTTGACCCTCAAAAAGGCTTTTTCCAAAAGGTAACATTGAAAAAGGGTGGTCATCATCTTATAATCAGAGTCATTTAAATTCGGAACGATACAGGTGTCTTCGACTTGAAGTGTTGTGCTCGGTCTCTATGAGATCAAAGTTGCGTGAAAGTGATTGGAAAGCTTTTTTAAAAGATTGAAAGATTCAAAAGTCTGCTCCCTAAATCGCTCTTACAGTACTTTGATGTCATCGATTGCTCTGTGCAGCACCGTTTCAAGTTGAACAGACCTACATTAGACCTAATGTTTATTAAACCATATAGAGGCCTAAACCACAAAAACATCATGGAACAAAGTACCAATTTGTTTTTGTTTTGTTTTTTTAATGCCTGGTAGATTGAAAAACGGATATGTCAGAGTATTTTGTCTACATATCGAGGATCTGGAGAGGAAGGCACATACATTATATATATATATATATATATATATATATATATATATATATAAACATATGATAGTTATTATCAGTCCTGCTCTGTGTGTGCTTTATTTTAGATATGACTGAGGTCTCTTCACTGTCGAAGGCCAACAACAAGCGACAAGCCAGGTAAGTCTGACTGAGCCAACTCTTTAAAAGATATAAAAAGTACTGCTAATCATTATTAAACTAGTGCTTAAATATTTCTGCCCATGTTCAGTTGGTCTCCGCTCTCAAAAGGATCATTCGGTTGCCATTTTCAGATTTTTTTTCTTTGGAGCTCAGAAGGAAATAACTTGAAGAGTGCGAACAAGCTTTTTTTCCATACAGTGGAATTTAATGGGCATTGAAACCTGTCTTGACCGCATTAGGAAGAATGATAATGTTATGATGCTTTATCATGCTTTTTGTCCTTTTTAGCACTTGACAGTGTACAGACACTTTGTAATTCCTTTGATTGATTAAGAGAAGCTTGAACATTCCTCTTAACATGTTCTTTAAGGGTTCCACTGTAGAAAGAACGTCATAGAGGTTTGGATGATTACTGCCCCTTAATATGCTTCATATGTGAACGTAACAGTGGCTTTCCAGTGGAAATTCACAGGAATGACATTTTGGTTTTGGCCAGCAAAAGTGTGCTTGTTTATTCAGTGTCTGTGGTCGATTTGATTCAGTTTGTTAGTGTGTTTTGCTCTGGCCATTGGTCCGTCTGTCGAGTGGGTTGGGAAATACGGGAATGTTTGAATGCCTTTGCAGTTGTGCAATATTCCTGACTAATGTGAATTTCCCTGGTTTCCAGCTCTGACTTTGAAGACGACGAGGGAAGTAAATTGTTCAGGTTAGTCATGATCTGTGACTCAACGGTTCGACTTTGCTTGAACTTTGACTGAGTTTAACAATTTGTCTTTTCTTTCGTTCTGGCTTTTCTTTTTTCAGGTGTGATGATGACGGAGGTGGATCGAATGACAAGGAGAGATTTGCCAGGTATTGATTGATTGACATAAGAGTGCATGAGAAGTACAAACATGGTATGGATCTTCCGAAGGTTCTCAAGAATCTCTTTAGGCTAATCTCGGTTATTGCTCAAAGTTGAATGGCATTGCCTAGATGTGCTGGTCAAGTTTCCAAACACTCTTCCCGTCATCTATTTTTTGGCCAATCAGATAGTCCTGACCCAAACTCATGCCTTTGAATGAGCCTTCATTGCTGTATCAGCCAGTTTTTAAACTTATTTTAAATGTTACATAAGTCTGTCTTCACTTATTATTTAATTGGACTGTCAAAGTTGCATGCATAATCACTCCCCATAATAATGAGGTCATGTGACAATATATGACATGTGATAGCATACAGCTGTTTGACACTACAGGCAAAAGCATTTGTTTTTTTTTCATGTAATTTGTCTTCTTTCAGAATAGCGGAAAGATAACAATCAGATACACGTTTAAATGGGCTTTCGCACCGTAGGAACCTTTTCTTGGTTCCTAGAACTATTGGTGGAAGTACCCGGGTTTTTTTGTTTGTTAGCAACACAGGAACTAGGAACTATTTTAGTTCTAGGAACTCCTTTTGGAGGAAGTAATGTAGCTCCTACTTCAGAGTCAAGTTTAAACTAGTGCTATAGGCAGTGTTGTAGTACTCGAGACTCGGTCTCGAGACCATATTTTAATGGTCTTGGTCTTGTCATGGACTCATGTGCATTTGGACTCGGAATTGACTCGTACTCGAACTTTTTTTTTTAGGACTCTGACTTATTCCCGAGTCCACTCGAGTTCAATTCAAAATATTTTTCATGACTATTAATGTATGTTAATAAAATATTTCTTTAAATTGATTGACACGCCCAGTGATTGGTGATTTTCTAGTGCGCAACTGCGCATGACAAATTGTAATAAAATTACTTTTAACACCACCTACTATGTGGCCTTTTTACCCTAAACTGATCATATTTTTTAAACTCTTAAGTAAATTCAGTAAAAAAAAAAAAAAAAAAAAAGGATTTCTCTAAGTAAATAAAAGTAAATTAGGTAATCAACTCTCACTGGCCTCAGTCTCGACTCGGACTTGACCGTCTCTGGTCTCGGACTCGACTCTCTATGGACTCGGTCTTGACTCGGACTCGACTCTCTCGCTCTCGACTCGGACTCGAGTGAGGCGGTCTCGACTACAACACTGGCTATAGGAACTACACGTTAGTGACACTGATTGGCCGAAAGCACACGAAACACCAGCGACCGTTATTTGCACTCGCATTTTTAAATAGGCTGTGTAAACGCACAGATTATAGCCTATATATTTACTCCAGAAACTAACATGGAAAACAGTGATAGACGGACCTCTTAACCTTTACGCTGAGGAGAAAATCCAACGCAACTTTGAGGGGACCAAGAGAAATATGATTATGTATTTCTGCTCAGCTAGCAACACTGGGTCAGAAATCTCCACTTTAGTAGGACTTTACGTTTTATTCTTATCTATATTCTGAGGGTTTGTTCATATAACATTCGCCTTATTTGTATAATACTTTAAAATATGGAAAAAATGTATTTTTCTGCCTGTTGAATGTTTTTTTTTTCTGACAAAAGGTAATGTACTCTCATGATTACTCAACTAGGATGATAACGAATTAGTTTTTACACTATTCACATGTTGCCTTTAAAGCCCTAAAATATTTTAAGTGAAATCAAAGAACAAACATGTGTGATCTTATTTTGAGCATAATCTGGCCAAAGCGAGAGTGTTTTGGAGTTACTTTAAACAGCTCTCCAGCATGAACTTTCTGGAAAACTTTGAACTGCAACTGGTCCATGATGATTGAACTTCGACCTTCCTTTTACCCTAGATCTTTGCAGAGTATATTTGGGCTGCATACTGTTTTACTCAGTATACAGTATTCACTGTGTAGTAAGTTTTAATCTAGTATTTCATTTTGAACGCAGCCCATGAGTCTGTCAGTGTCTTACACTTTATTTCAGATGTTCCTTCTATCCCTCTCTTCTTTTCTCAGACCGTTTGAAGAGGCTTTTTCTTTCAGCTTTCATGAGATCGTTCATACACATTTGTTTATCATGGAGATGCGAGTGTTGTCTCATTTGAGGAGCACATTGATGCAGTCTTTATTTGCTTATTCATCCATCTCTCTTTCTCTTTCTCCTCCTCGTTTGCTTGTTGTTGCTTTCTCTCGACCTTTCTCTGTTCCTGCTCTCTTCTCCCCACGCTTCCATGCACCGCCCATCTCTCATGCTCCTGCTCTGACCTCCTGACCCCAGGGAGAACCACAGCGAGATTGAGCGGAGGCGGAGAAATAAGATGACCGCGTACATCACAGAGCTGTCAGACATGGTGCCCACCTGCAGCGCACTGGCACGCAAACCGGACAAGCTCACCATCTTGCGCATGGCTGTGTCACACATGAAGTCTCTCAGAGGGAGCGGCAACACCAGCACCGATGGAGCCTATAAACCGTCCTTTCTCACAGACCAGGTCAGATATGATCAATGTAGATTTCTCATGGTATATACAAATAAGAACCATTTTTCTTGAAGAGACTTTCAACCAGTATAACAAAATGTTAAAAACTGCCTACCCTACCTTTAAAAGAAGTATCAAAACTGTGTGTGTTTTTCATTTCACTGACCTGCATCTCGCTTATTAACCCCAAAAACACATTCTGTGTGTATGCCCTCTTAAGAATGTTCTAATCTTTTTTATTTTACTTAAGACATAAGAGAAATTCAAATTCTTGAAAAGAATCTTAACCATCATTGTAAATAACCTAGGATAACCTCAAACTTGTCTTTAATTCCCTATCCAGCCCTTAATGTAGGGTTGTCCACTCCAGCTCCTGGTGGGCCACTGTCCTACAGAGTTTAGCTCCAACCCCAATTTAACACACCCGAAACAGCTAATCAAGGTCTTACTTAGCATACTATAAAGTAGGGGTGGGCGATATGACCAAAATTGTGTTTCACGGTATGACTAATTTTATTTCACGGTAACGATATATTTCACAATATAGTTACTTATGTAGTTATCCTCAAAAAAAAACCCCAATTGTTTGGAGTTAAAAAATATATAACTCGCGCTGCATATTTAGTAATTTTGCCTCAGAAACAGGATTATACATTCGTTTTAACAAGCAGGATGTTCATTCATAGTGAATGCGATTTTCATGTTTAAAAAATCAGTTCAGTTCAGTTCAGTCAACTTTATTAATCCCACAAGGGGCAATTCATTTAGAGCAGCATGAATGAATACATAGAACAATCAGACACAATATTCACAACATACTGTCAGTCAGTTATGTGCACATTTAAAAAACCTCAAAAACCCTACCTAGAGTTTAATATCGCACAAGGAATAAAAGATTTGGAGTAGCGGTTTGTCTTACATACGGGAAGCGCATAACGACGCCCTGAGGGCAACAGAGAAAATTCGCCTGCCACAGCGTGTCCCGGAGCGGCCAGGATACTCGCTGCCTTCCGAACTATTTGTTGGTTACAGAAAACAGTGAGGTCTCTCTGTTTCACACCAATGATTTTAGAGCAGATATTCACAATATAGTTCAGGCTATTTTTGTCTTTGACTGTCAGGTTGTGAAACCAACAAATAAAAGAAAAACTTAAGAGACTCTCAATAAAAGACTGGTAAAATCTACACAGGATGACTGGCGAGACAGAAAAGGATTTTAGTTTGCGGAGAAGATAAATTCTCTGTTCCCCTCGCTTCACAATGGCAGCACTGTTTATATCAAACTTGAGATGGTCATCAAAAACAGTGCCCAAGTATTTATATGATGAAACAATTTCCACCTTATCATTATAAATAATGCTCTCTGAAGCAGTATCTCTCTTCCGCCTGAAGTCAATAATTAATTCTTTGGTTTTTGATACATTCAAATTAAGAAAATGGTTATCACACCATGAGATAAAATTAACTATACATAAAAGAAGGAAAGATGCGGATAACAATACATTATTTAAGGTTATTTCTATTGTATTGATATTGATGAAATGTTGTTATCAAGTAAACTACATGCTTTCCCCGTTGCGAACGTGCACTCTAAACTGTAGCCTGGGTGCTGCACTGCTCTTGCCTTTCCCCCCGAACATATCACGTTAACAACAATCCTTTAGAAAACGTAATTCCTTAGTGGATCCTCTTGATCTGCTTTCTCCATGTTTCTTTGACAAATCTCAACGTCTCAGTCTCACGCGCGCTGCACGGGAGTAAACCACGGCCACTTATTTACATTTCGCGGTATACACGGAATAAAAAAATCTGTTACGACTGACGTTTTCTACTGCGATAGCGATATATATCGTCATATTGCCCAGCCCTACTTTACAGAAGTTTATGAGCCGTTTCTGCTCTACATCCTAAACTCCTCCTGACGATGCAACCCACTTCTGTTCTGGCGGGCTGGGTTTGTTTTGCTAGCTAGCTCCATTGTGCCGACAAAGCACTGATATCGCAGTGACCAAGAGGATAACAATTACAACATGAAGAAAGGTGGTTCGGGAACGATGTGTGCGGTAGTTGGTTGCGAACACTCGAGAAAGCACCTGAACGAGTGGTTAGATAGAAAGTGCTACGACCGCAAACCAGCTACGAAGAGGCAATGTCCATGCGCTCCATTGTTTACACACAAACACACTCACACACACCCACAGTTTCGCGCCTGCGCCTCTCTCTCACACACACATAGTTTGATCTCTTGCGCCTAATTATTATCATCATGGCACACACACTTAGCACTCTAGCTAAGTAGCCTATGATATAGTTTGGATACCAAAGTCAGGAGGACATTCGCTGACAGCGCGTTCTCTTGTCGCGCCGCGCATGAGTGGTTTAAAGGTCATAACCCTGGCTAAAGGATGACAGAAAGAACAGATGTTGCGTTTGCATTAAATATTTTAACACGTTTAAGCTAGACAAAAATGAATCACGAAAATAATCACTTTTTTACTCACGGCCGCACGCCGGAGATCCAGCGCGGTGCCGGAATACTTTTAAGACCTGTTTATGACATGACACAACCGAATTTGTTGCTGTGCGGATAATTAATATTTCTCGACGGCTTTCAGATTGTCAAATTGCTTTTCCATCTTTTGCTATAGATTTCTAGCCTAGAAATCTAGACGCATCCTAGCGGCAACAAAAATCATTTCGTTGCCAGTGTGGTCTAGCAACTCTCAATAGACGTTTTAGCTGGAAAAACCCAACTCATGTCGGGCCAATCACATCGTGTATAGTCGGTGGGCGAGCTTAACATAATGACGACAGAGTTGCGACGTTCAGAGCAAGCTCGGACATATTCGGTTTTTGAAGTCGTTCATCCTCGGATGCGGCACCGCGCGCGCTGTTTTAAAAAAGCAGTGGCGAAACAATCAACTTGCCGTGATTGTGCGGACGCCTCAAGTATAAAGGCTTTATTTATTCCGTGTCAGCGCTCGCTCTGGGGTGCGTTTCCCGAAAGCATCGTTACCAACTATGGTCGCAAGTTCCGTCGTTATCAGCATAGTTTAACGAGTCTGTGTTTCCCGAAACCATCGTTCTATCGAACATTCGCAAACAGCATCGCAAAGTTGTGTGGTTTGAACGACAGCTCTCGACCTGCGGTTAGAAGCATCGTTTCTATATTGCATGACATTTGGAGGTAATAAATCCTTATCTTGAGCATAATGAGCAAGCTGACATTCAGTACAACCGCTGTCTTTTATTTAGAAAACATAAAAATTTACGTCTTTTAGTTTGTCAAAAGATTTGAAGTAACGCGTTTGAAGAGTGCGCATGTGCGAACGTGCATACTATGTAAGAACGAGCCAAATATTGATTCTGGTAATAAAGCAGAACAATTAGAAATAGTCCTCTGATGACATGTCTGTAATTTATATAAAACAAATCTAGTGTTAATTGGATCTCAAACAGTTTCATTAAAGGTAGTTATTACTCCACCACGTGCGAAACCAACGTGGTTGAACGCTACTTTGCGACAGTGGGTTTCGGGAAACAGCCGTGTCTAGCTAGTTGATTTTTCCAACGATGCATCGTACTATGGTAGTGAATCAAGCAAACTACGTCGTTGTACGGGAAATGCACCCCTGATTGGTAACGGATCTCCGAATCATCTCCAGCACGCAGCCTCCGAAGCACCACTAACTCCTCCTCCGTTTCCTTCATTAGCTGATATTAGTATTTAAACATTCTCCATGTTAATTTTTTAATGACGAACTGTCTCTTTCTCTCTCATACATATGTAGGCTAGTTATAAACTCTTTAGACTTTTAATGATAAGTGTTTAATTTTTAAAGTTTGTGGGTTGTGTAAAAAACAAAAAAATCCCTTATTTTGGGGATGGATTCTGGTAAATCTCCCTTATTTTCAATTTTCAATGTTGACAGCTATGGACTGGATACAGTAAAAGTTTTATATATCACACTATATTATATACTTGCTCCGCTGCCTGCGTCACCTTCTTCGTTGCTCTGAGCCCTGTCAATGATAAGTTCCCAGACCAAACATCTTGATGTAGGTCTGGCATGCCAGGCTAATGGATTGCACGAAGTAGGAGCAAATCTTGCTGTACGTTATACTGGGCCATGTCGTCATGTTAGTGTTCTGCACTGAATTCGGGTGGGGGATAGTAACGCCATCTCCAGTCAAAGTAGTGGAACCATCGCTGTGTTTACACCGGCAGACGCTGTGCAAACCACTTCCGGTGGAAATTAAGTGCTTTTGAGTAGTTATGGCGGCGCCCATGATTTTGTGCGTAAACTTGTGTATACTAGAAACTTCCAGGTAGGTGTGTTGAGGCAAGCTGGAGCTAAACTCCACAGGACAGTTGCATTTCAGGACTGACTTTGGACACGGTGAAGGATAAAATATGTCAATGCTTTTGCGTTCACTCGCACAGGTTTTGTGTTCCCCAAGAACTTTGCATTCAACTTGGTTTCTTGGGGGAACGCAAAAAAGTTTTGCAAGCAAATGCAAAGATTTGGGACCTTGCAAAACTTTTGTGTTCCCCAAGATATTTTGCATTCACTCGCAAAACGTTTGCGGTCTCCCAAGAACCAAGGTCGCTCGCAAAACTTTTTTGTTCCCCCGAGAAAGTTTTGAAATATGTTTTCCTCCCATCTCATATTTTTTCTACCACCATATCTCTTTAGGGTCTCCGTAAATTCCTATAGGTACAATGTTTAATGGATTTAACGGGTTGTTTTAAATATTAAGCATTACATTTTCAATTCTGTTAAAGGGATATTGCAGGTTAGAGGACCCAATGAGTCAATGCATAGAAAAATAATGTAGGTAGATTTTCTTTAAAATATACTCATAAATACGCTACAGAAGTTTCTGGAGTCTTTTTTGTGAGAATTTTCCTTCCGCGTCTGAAAATGGGCGTGGCGGGCGTGACGCAATGAGCGGGTCGATTCAAACAACAGGAAAACAATGGATCGCAATGACATTTCAGACGCTGAGAAAATACTCGTATGACGGACCAAGCCATAAAGTTATGAGCCTCCTATGCTGCCAAGAGAGCAGGGACAGGATAATGTTATGGCTCGTTTCCACTGAGTGGTACGGTACGGTACAGTTCGGTTCGGTACGCAATTATTTGCGTTTCCACTGTCAAAAGTTGTGAATAGTACCAAAAAGCCGAACCGTACCGTACCACTTTTTGGGTACCCTTTCGTTAGGGTACCTAGCACAGTGAAAAGGTACTAAAAGGTGGAGCTAGACTCACTGCAGAATGGTGATTGGTGGACAGAGTATCGTCACTCGCGCGTGCTACAAGGGCATTAGAAGCATACAGTTGAAATATAATTCTACTGTTATTGTGTCACGAAATGTAGTTTTAAGACTTTTTCAGGCGAGAAAGTAGTTTTTTAAAGCTCAAATCTGTGGTTTATTTATAGATTTTTGATAATTTGACTGAGATCCATTCCAAGCGATCACCGGACGCTCGCGCTCGTGTCCCCCGCCTGGAACAGGCTCTCCTCGGCGAGTCGTTCTGATGTTTGCCGCTGACTCGGACGTCTCTGTAGTGGTTAAACATGAGATATAGTTCGTCTTGTATAAACCTAACAGGTAAACTTTGGTCTCGTGAATCTATAATTCGTTTCCTGGCCAATAGTTTTGGCAGAAGGCTACGTGAAGTTTCATATCTTTGAGCGCTGAATTTGTAGTCCTATATTTGACTGACTGAATTCATTGTTTCTTGATATTATTTAAACTTTACTGTATTTTGTACCTTTTACTTATACTTTTATAATGGTTATTATTGATTAAACTGAAATTCAACAGAAAGAGATAGTTTTGTCATTTTTTAAAATTTTATTATCATCTGTAATGTTGTTTATTGCAACATTTGTACCAATGTGATTACATATTGCCTGGAATATGTTTAATATTTTTAAATTTAAACGAAAAGAGGCAGGGTTGTTTTATATTTAGTTTTGTTATATAAATATAACGTTACATGCAGTGATAATCAATAGGCTATGTGTTGCCTGAACCACATTTATGTGCTTTAGAATGTTTAAAATGTATTGAAATGAAATCGAAAAGAAGCAGAGTGGTGTTTTAAAACATATTTCGTTTTATTGTTGCCTAAAATGAACATACAGAGATAACCGGAGTCGCATAGCCAGAGCGAGCTGAGGCTGCGTTCAAGAACGCGCTGTTCCATTAGCAGAATTACTGGACTCGCGTCCTCGGGATCATTCTCCTGAGCCGGACTTTGCGTTGGCTTGTTGGATCTGCTGTCTGTCATCCATTGTTGTTTACTATGTCGCTTTCTTCGCGCGAAAATGACGTCGATCGCTTCTTTCCAGCATTCCATGCCTATCAAGTAAGGGTACTGTTGGCGGTGGAAACGCAAGCCTGATCATGGTGTACCCGACCCGACCCGTACTGTACTGTACCGTACCGTACCCCTCAGTGGAAACTAGCCATTAGACAGAACGTTCAGAGACAACATTGAGTTGTGGTGTGAGGAGAACCAGTGGATAACAGGACAGGTGTCTTTTGGTGAGAGACGTGCTTATAGATACATGCTCGCTAACGATATACACTATGCTCCCAATATTGTACAGATTATTATTATCCTTTAACAGGCCAGCAGACATTAGCATGTTTAGGGTAGATTTATACTATTAAATGTATAAAAACTATACTTGAGTATATTTCTATTGTACTAAAAGCGTACATTTTTAATACATATTTTTCACCTGGGTTATAACAAACAGAAAATTAAAGATTTGAGTATTTAAACAACCAATTTTGTTTTTCCATTA